GTGCCTCCCCTCCCCTGTATAATAGTATTATTAAACAGGTCTCTTATTCATCTCGTACAACTGAAAATGTATACCTGTTGAGCAACAACTAATTATTTTCCCCATCTCCCAGGCTCTGGCAACCACCATTCTACGCTCACTTCTATGAGTTTGACTATTTTTGATTCCTTATAGGAGTGGAATCATGCAGCATTTGCCCTTCTCTGCCCGGCTTCTTTCACTTAGCATAATGTCCTCTATGCTCACTCATGGTGTCATTGCCACATGTGGCAAAAGTCCTTTCTTTTTTAAAGCTAAATGCTGTTTTGTTGTATGTATATATACATTTTCTTTATTCATTAATTTGTGGATGGACATTTAGGTGTTTCTCTATCTTGGCATTATTGTGAATAATGCTGCAATGAACATGGGAGTGTTGATATCTCTTTGAGATCCTGATTTCAATTGTTTTGGATATATTCCCAGAAGTGGATTGCTGGATCATATGGTAGTTCTATTTTTAATTTTTTGAGGAATCTCGAAACTGTGTTCCATAGTGACTGTACTGATTTACCTTCCTACCAATAGTGTGTGAGGATTTTATTTCTCCTCTTCCTTGCCGGTACTTTTTTTTTTTTTTAACTAACCATCTTGACAGGTGTGAGGTGGTATTTCATTGTGGTTTCAATTTGCATTTCCCTGATAATTAGTGTTGTTGAGTAACTTTTCCTGTTGGTCATTTGAATGCTGTTGTTTTTGGAGAAATTTCTGTTCAAGTCCTTTTCCTCTTTTATAATAGGATTTTTTTTACCTGTTGAGTTAAATCGCCCTTTTTTGAAACTCTCCTCAGGTACCTGTTTGTGTGTCTTACCTGTATCTTGCTGGGACCCTGACATGCAGGCAGTAGGGACACCAGCTCAGAAGGCAGAGCATGCCTGAGGTTTATGGTGTCTCAGGGGGCCACAGGAGGGAGCTACCCTTCAGGCCTCACTGGCCAGTCTTCCCTGACCTGAGACTTCCTGAGGTCCTGAGGGGGGAATTGAGACTGGGATGGCATGCAGGAGTTTGGTGAAGATGGACTTAACTTTCTTTCCAGGTAAGGCCACGGGCTTCTCCACTGCCCTCCAGGTAGCCCCTCTAAACTGTTTGTTACAGGAAACCTGTTTGTATTAGGAAGCCCACTTTATGGGCATACGTTTTTGATGCCCAGATGGTGCCTGTATTTACAAAAGCCCAGCACACTGACAGGACCTGCAGACACATGGATAAATATTTTGTCTTTTTTCTTGGCAATATTTGAATCTTTCAAATGTAATTGCTGTCAGAGACAGGATGTTTGCAATGCTCAAGGCAAAGTGAAGAGCAAGGGCGTTGGTGGGGCTATTCTGATTGCTCTAGGTGGGCTCCCTGGCCAGTCACCTGCAGTGCCTATTGGTTGGCTTCTTGCTCTTCCTGAGTGTCAAGTGGCTTTCCCCTCCCTGGTTGGGTGGGCTGGGGCTGGGAGAGGCTAAGTGAGCTGACTCCAGACTGCCTGCAACCTGGGGCAACTTGTTGAGTTTGTGTTGGGGCTGAGAGAATTTGACTTTAGCTGAGAAGTCAGGTGCTTTCCTCAGACATGAGTGCGTCACCATTCTGGCCGTCCCCAGTGAAATCTGGGTCTGAGAGTGTTTTATTGTATCTTAAAATGATTGCAGGTAGGACTGCTGCTGCTATCTCATACAGCACTGTTGTACAAATCAGACAAAAACAGCCCTTCTGGCAGAGGCAGCCACAAACACCCTACCAGGGTGCAAGGCTTGGTCAGCAGCTGGATTTCAGCATCCAAGTATCTCTTGGGAAGTGCCCTTGTGCAGGCCACAACCTGCCCAACAGCACGTGTCCAAGGCATGATGATATTTGCCGATGGTATTCTTGTTACAACTTTTGACCTTTTATAGTTTCCTCTCCTCTTTCTTTTCTTTCTCTTTCCCCTCCAAAAACCACTGACCTAGTTGCCCCTAGGATTACATTTGCCACCTAGAGTAAGACACTGTTCTGTGATCATATGCGGTTTTCTTCTGCCTCGCGTGGTTGATAAGTCTCTCCTTATATTGTCCAGGCAGGAAAGATGTGTTAGTTGTAGACTCACAGAGTTTTGCAACAATCACCTCCTTTAATTCATTACATTCTCATTTGCCTTTTAATTCCTTGCATGTAATAAAAGCAGTTGGATTCTTTGCTGTGGCCTTACAAAGGACACCTCATATTATTCATTTCCTTTCTTAAAGCACATGTTTTTGGTGCTTACCTTGTGTTAGGGGCTGGGGAGATAAAGAGGAATGAATAAGACAACATCACTGCCCTTGAGAAACTCATAATCTAGTGGGGGAGTGAGACGTGTAAACAGATAAATCACAGTGAAGTGGTGTGTTTGCTCAGGAAAGACAGAAGCACAGGGGAGCAGGGAAGGGATAAGGGAAGCCATTGTGGAACCCACCCTGCGGGGGGCAGTCCTAGATGCAGGAAGGGCTGTGCTGAGGAGCTGCCACTTGAGCCACCTGTTAGGATGAGTAGGTGTTTGTCAGAGGAAGAAATGCAGGTGGGAGAACAGATGCGGAGTCAAGAATGGATGTGGCATATTCGAGGCAAGGCAGGAAAATTCACCTGACTGGAGCCTAAGGTGTGAGGAGCCTGAGACTTGAGGGGACCTGAGGTGGAGGCTGGGGCTTTGTGCCTGAGGAGTGTGGGCCTTATCCTGTGTGTAAAGAGCATCATAGAGACCTGTGAGCAGCATACCAGTTAGTCACATTTTTTCCTGCATGGCATATACTCCACATGGGAGGGTGGCCTGGTGGAGGCTACTTCCTTGGGTAAATCACTTAATGTTCTTGAGGCTCTACTTTCTCATTTGCAAAACAGGTAATAACAATGCCTACTTAATTGGGTTGTAGAGTGGATTAAATGAGACAATGTCCATAACTGAGTTTCCCACTGGTGGAACAAATACAGAACTGGTGAGCAGGTTCTGGGTTTGTTGGAAATGCTGGTTCCTTCAGCCCTCGGGGAGCCTGGACATAGCCTGGGGCAGCCTCATCTGTTCACCCAGGTGCCTCACGAACATCTTCAGTGTGTGTTGGACATAAGTAGAGTTGGAAACCCCTGGTCTACAAAGAACCTGGCAAGTTCCTCCTGTCTAGTAGGTCTTCAATAAATATGGTTGTTTGTTGAGATAGGTCATTGTATTAGGAAAACTACTATATAGGGAGGGGCAGCAGAGGGAAGGACTGGGCTCCAGGCACATTTCTGAAGTAGAACTGGCAGAATTTGTGATCAGGTGTGTGTCAGGAAGGAGGGGTATCAGTAGGGAAGAGGCGGGGATGACTGTTGGATTGATTCATGATGGTGTAGACCAGAATGGGAGATGATGCTGTTAATGGAAATTGTTACGGGAGTTAGAGTGTGTGGTATTTGAGATGTGAATGTGAGTGGAGGAAGTGGAGACTGTCTGGTAGACTCCTTTTCCATCAAGTTTTGCAAGCTAAGGGAGGAGGATGATGGGATGAAGGTATAAGGAGAAAGTGTGCACAGGGGGAATGCTGGGGACTTGAGAGAGGCTTTAGGATGCTTGTGGGCTAAGGAGCAAGAGGCAGATGAGTTGATCAACTGAAGATACAAGAAAAAAGTGCATACCCTTTTCCAGAACTTTGCCTCTTTGGATAGTGTCTGTCCTATTGGAGAAGTATCTGCCATCAACTGGAACTGGGCAGCTGTCCAGATATGATTTACAATAAGGCATCGGTTTCATGAGGCACTGTCTAAATTATTGGACTTCACCAATTCCAGGTTCCCTACTGACAGTGGGCCAGGGGTCAAACAATTCAATCAGGTGCCACCAGTTATAAATTGAAAATCAGTGGGGTGCAAAATGGATTACCATCAAAATCCATTCAGGTGCAAAACCAAATTTCAAAACCCCTAACCTTTAAAAATCACCCCTTTCCTGACTCTTCACAATGCCCTGACACCGAGTTTTAATATCCCCCAGATGAACAAGCGTCGATAGAAATGACTACAGGAGACCAAAAGTAACAAGGGAAGAGCTCCCAGTCAGGCCTTCTTTTTGGAATTTGCAAACATGGTGGATTTATGAATTAATACACTAGTAATTCTATTAGTTTCTGTAAGGCAGCAGTTCTCAAACTTAAGCTTGCAATAGAATCACCTGGAGAACTTATTCAAATTCAGATTGCCAAGTTCTACCTCCGGGTTTGATTTAGTAGGTTGGACCTAAGAAGCTGCATTTCTAGCAAGTTCTCATAGGATGCTGATACTGCTGGTCCTGGGACCACACTTTGAGAATTTCTGTTCTCAGATCTAGAAACATCTTGGTAATTTGACTAGCAAAGCATGCTTTGATTCATAGCAACTGATTGTAGAGGTCTTACTGGAACAGGTGTTGAGTTGGTTAAGGAATCATACTTTTGTCTAAAAAAAAAAAACCTTAAAAGAAACTGGTTCAAAGACACACAGACTGATCTGAGTGTTTGGTGTCCAGGGGTGAGATTGGAAGGAGAGACATAAAAGGGAAGAGCTCTCCTGCCCCTTTACCATTCCAGAATACTGGGTGTGTTCAAAGCACAAATGACATCATTAAGGTGGAAGCCTTCTCTCTAATGGTCCCTGGGTGGAAACTGCGAACATCTTTCGATGCCAACCTTCCTCTATTGACTTGAAAGTCGAGAAGATTAGACAAACATGGGTATGACTTTCTTAGCAAGCTCCTCTTAGCCTGAACTTTGACTCTTCCCACCTTTGTGTGATTCTAGAGCTGTATTTTTTAAAACCTAAATCAATACTGCTTAATTATAGTTCTACTCTCTTGCTCTTTTTGAGTCAAAGTCATTGCCTTGTATAAACTGTAGTTGTCACCAGGCCCAATATGAAACAAGTCCCTTTCTCTAGGACAGAACAGTGGCTCTCAGAACCACTCCAGATGTGGTTACTGCCTCGTTAACATTTGATTTTCGGTCTCTCTTTTCCAGGAGAAATTGAGCGGTGCACGTACATCAAATACCACTACTCCTCAGCCACCATCCCCAGGAATCTCACTTTCAACATCACGAAGACCATCCGTCAGGACGAGTGGCACGCCCTGCGTAAGTAGAACAGCATCTTATTGACTGTGACTGTGCTGTGAAGTCACTTTGGAGGCCTGGAGGATTGGATGTGCCACCTTCTGAGATCTGTGGACAGTCTCAGAACATTGTGGTGATTGTGTAAAGTACCAAGATCTTCGGTCAGAACTGCCTCAGTTGATTTTGATTACATTATAGATGTGGGGAGTTTGCTTCTAGAACTAAAAAAAAAAAATCCAAAACACAACTAGCTGTTAGACACTTATCTTATTTCACTACTCTGGTAGGCATTTAAGAATTTCACCTACCTCACTGACCAACTCCTGGGACTTAACTCTAGCATATCTCCAGATTGCTTATGCAGCATATGCTGTGAATTGGGGTGCTAACCGCTCTATATTATTGTGGTCACCTCTTTGTCCCTCGGGTTGTAAAGGGTGAGCCCTGCTGGTGGTGGTAGGCACTGGAGAGTTGCACCTGGGTGGGTCACTAAGGGGTGGGATCTCGCCTCAACCTACATGCCTCTGTTTACCTTCAAATGATAGGTTTTGGGACCCTGGTTCTGTGTCCATTAGTTAGGGAATTTGTCGGTCAGTGAGCCTCAGTGACTTAAATGACAACCAGAGGGTGACTTAATGAGCAAGCTGTTGTCTATTTTTATTCTTCTGCTCCATGGGGACACACTGCCTTCTATGGCAGGAGAGTGCTCCTTTCTTGGAGGGACAATTCCTCATGTGACATAGTCTTACTGTCAGTAAACTCTGTGCTGCCTCTGGAAAATTTGTCATGCATTTTATTCCACCTTTTCTCACCTAATGTTAAAGTTAAGGTTCAGTTTATGTTTATGTGAAAGAGGGCTGTTTTGCCATTTCCTGATACTATGATAAGGAGTCCTTGTTTAGTAAACTTTGAAGAAGGTGACTCTTCAGGCCGAAACATCTCTCTTCTCTTTACTGTTGTCTAATTGTCTTTTGTATGTGTTGGGCCCACCGGATGTATTTCACTTTTTGGTTTGGCTTTAGTTAAACAAACACAGCTTGGGATGGGGGTTAGGGTGGTAAGAAGGACAAGTAAAATGAAACTGAACAGAACAATCATTCATTGGCTTCAAGAAAAATGTGCCTGGGTGTCCAGATGACTGTCATTAAATGACCCTGGTCTGAAATGATGGAGCAGGTGCCAACAGCTGGAACGGTACTAACCGGACTATGGCCCCTATGAGTTCATCCATTACTAGAGACACTAATCAGCACATGGGGACAGAGAGCTAATGCTCAAAGAGTCTTCCTAAATATGAGCTAGGCATTCCACATATTTTATTTTAATGTTACATTTGCTTTAGTGATTACACTAGTAATTATACAAGTAATCAGGGTTATTAATTTCTTTTTGGAAGTAGACATGTAAGGACCCAAACATAGACTACACGACAATAACTGCTTATTTCACACAATGCATTAACTTAGTAGAGTCACTTATTAGAAGTCTAGAAGGGATGTTCAAGATTGGTAAGTCCTGTTGATTAACCACTTAAGTCTAACTAAAGTTATGGAGATCATAATAGGATTCAGAATCTAAGAAGGACTAAGTTATTGACATAGCAGCTTCCATTCGAATTAAAATTGAACCAAAGTTTCCAAATTTCTTTATGTATGAGGCACTTGTGGATACTGAGGTCTCAGGGGCCTCTTTAAGGAGCTCATGTCTGGGGGTGAAGGAGGGTAGGGGATGGAGAGAGACATTCACAAAGCAAGTAGTTACAATGCAATGTGATAATTACAATATAATAGAATTGCTTTAAGCAATTAAGTTAGTTTGTGACAACTTTTTACTGTAAATTGCACAGATACACTTCAAGGGAAACCTGGTAGAACTCTTTTGACTGTACACACTGTAGATACCTGGAGTTCAAAGAGATTACCCAGGGAGGCATCATTGGAAACATGTCACATGGCATCAGCAAAGACAGAGAGGATAGGATAATGCCAAGGTTTGTGGGGTCTTCTTTGAGCTCTGCATGTCTCCAGTCTCTTATTCTCAAACTGTAGTGCTGTTTGGCTCTGCAAAATCCAGTGTGCAGCATATGCTGTGAATTGGGGTGCTAACAGCTCTATTTTTAACTGATAAAAGCCATCTCAACGATTGATATATGAAAAGGTCTCGAGCACCTGGTGTCGGGTAAAGCGGAGGCTACTCTTTGGTGAGGGATTCATCTGCCTTTTTCACAAAGTCGCCTAATGGGCTGTTAAGCAGAGAGAGAGAACATTTGCCATTTTTGACATCCATGACAGCTATTTTTAGTCAGAGGGCAGGTGAGCATCTGTCACAGTTGAAGTTGGTACTAAGTGTAAAAGGGAATGCTGGCAAGACAGGGAAACACATGAAATGTCCACTTTAATTTTCAGAGATCAGATATTGATGACATTAGGTGGAAAGTAGTCTCCTTTGAAATAAAGCAAAAACGCTTAAAGATTAGCAAAGTCCTGTGATCAAGTGCTAGAAAAAAAATCAGACTTGATTTCTTTATTAGTTTGAGAGTCCTATACTCTTTATTTATTTTAATTTTAATTTTTTAAAATTACATTACCTTTGGGGGATACAAATAGTTTTTGGTCTGGGCTTTCAGAGTACCCACCCTCCCCCCCACTTGTTCACATTGTACCCAATAGGTGATTTTTTTTGTCCCTTCACCCGCCCCTTCTGAGTCTCCAGTGTCCATTATACCCTTCTCTATGTCTTTGCATATTTTTGGTTTAGCTCTCACTTATAAGTGAGAACATGCAGTGTTTGGTTTTCTGTTCCTGAGTTAGTTTGCTTAGGATGATGTTCTCCAGTTCCATCCAAGTTGCTGCAAAAGACATTATTTCACTGTTTTTGGTAACTGAATAGTATTCCATAGTGTACTTCTTAATACTCTAAGTGAGATCATTTGTTTGGTTATCATTTTACAATTTGATCATAATCTCTTTCATTCTAAAATTTATTTCATTCTACAGTTTATTTCATTCTATAATTTTTCTCAGTATATACTTTTTGCCAAAGGAAATACACTTCTAGCAAATATTTGGATTTAGTTAAATTGGATTCTATACTTTTCATCAGAAACTTACATGTGGTTTGATCATCAACCACTGATATAGAAGACAATTTTCAAGTAGGAAAAAGCCATTTGGTTTAAAACTACATTGTGGTTTTTGAAAAGTTAACCTTACCAATGGGAGGCTTAGCTGCTGGACTGGGAGCTCAGGCACCTTATATGGTCAGGTGACTAGACTTGAATGTCCAACTGTAAAGAGGTCATAATTGTATAGGGAGTAAAGGCCAGATGATCCAACCTGTGTGTGTGTGGAGTTGGGAGTTGGGATGTGGGCGAGTGGTGGGAGAAGAGAAGAGCTCTTTGTGTGAATGCTGAGTTGTGACCAGGTTCTGACTCTGGCTGGGTTGGTGATTGCTGGTGGGGTTCCGTGCTGCTTCTCCTTCCTACCCTGGGAGAAGGTAGAGCTCCTTCTGGAGCTGGGAAATGTGTCCTCGGCCCACCTAGCCAGGCTGTCCACCTGGGGTGGACTCCCTGCTTTTCTACCCTCCCACTGTCCCCCTTTGAGGTTTCAGTGGCCCTGGGTAGGTGGAGAGGCAGGGCAGAGTGAGGGAGTACAGGATTTGTCCTGTCTCTGTGGCTTCATGGTTCTTGAGGATGTGCTGTACTGCTGACCTAGATCATCTGGCTACCTCTAGGGTGGAGCAGGACAGGCGAGTGTCACTGACCAGTGAGGAGGAGACAGGCAGCCGCAGAAGATGAACTTGGCTTATGTTGCTCCCCGACAGGTTGTCTGGTTTCATGTTTCGAATATGACAAAATCCGATTAACATGGTCAAGGGGAGCAGCAGCATTTTAAATGGTGCTGCTTCCTCCTCTCACTAGAATATGTCCCCGCCGGCTTTTCATAGTCCGCAGTTTCATCTGTGGTGGCAGCGCTTGTTTGGAGAATTTGGTGTCCTTGTGCAACCTCCAAAACCCCCTGAGGTCATCCCGAGTGGCTCTGCCTTTGTTCTCCCTTTGGCAGGCACACAGCCTTTCCACACATCCAGGATCCTGGACACCTGCCCAGTGGCAAGGCAAGGGGAGATGGTGGTTGGAAGCCTAGTGATCTGTAATAGGAACTGGGCAGCCAGGGTGGGCTCTGGCAGAGGAAGAAGGCTGAGAAAGCAACATCAGTGAAGATCCTGTCTCTAAGAGGTTGAGTGCTTCTGCAAAAAGAAAGTGGGATGGCATGGAGCTGGGTCTTGCTCTGTACCATGCAAGGACCCTAGGGAGGCTGGCAGGGGGCCACTATGGCAGATCCTGCCTGAGGTCCCAGGACAGGCACCCTTTGAAAGATGTGAGAAAGATGGCCCTTCTTCTCTCCCTGATTTCTAGATCTAATGGGCAGGGTCTCTGTGGGCAGCTATTCTAAGGGTTCCCTCAGGGTCAGATCCTTGAGACTCAGAGTCACCGTGTTTGTGAGCTCAGATTTTCTCCTTCCGCTTGGCATTTTCAAGATGGAGGTTTTAACTCACAGTTGATTGCCCCTGGCAGTGAGAATCAGGGGGAACTGGGATTCCACTTTCCTGCAATCAGATCCTCTCCGTTATCTTTCAAGAGGCTGGGAGCCAAGAAAGCTAGAGTATTTTTTTTTGAAGCCTTCTCCTGTCAAGACTGAGGCTTCAACTAATTAGATTAGATGGTCACAGGGCACATTTCCAAATAGCCAGGAAGGGAAGGAGAGATGATTTCCTCTTCTCAACTTCCCTGCCCCCCCCACCCCCAAAAGGACACACAGATCCAAGCCCACATGGTGACCCTGCAGCTGTTGCCTCAGGCAAACTGAGCAATCATGGGGACCAGGCAGGGCAGGTGCCGCTTCTACAGCATGGGGGCCTGGTGCCTTTCCTCACGCAGTGGATCAGTGCGCCCATAGGGCAGTGAACATCAGTGCTGGGGGCCACCCTGAAGTAGGGTTTAGGGCATGCAGGGACAGTTGAAC